ACCACTGGGTGCCCTCTGGCCTCGGTCCCAGCACTCTCAGGTGACACGCTACACCCTGAGGCCTGTTCCCTTGCTCAGCACTCACCTCCCCCACCCTCCAACCACCTACCCCTACTCCGTGTTCCTGCCACGTTCCCAGCCTTGGCTCCAGCCTGCATTCTCACCCGATCCTGGAAGCCAGAATAAACATGGCCTGTCCAGCATCCACTGACATGGAGCCGACAGAACTCACCTCACGCTGCCGCGGCCTGGGAGTCCAAATAATGGAAAAGAAAACTCAAGCCCGTGCCCAGGAAAGGCCGGGGAGTCATAACTCCATGGAAAATGCTCACCTGTGGTGGAGGCGGGGGCCTGTGGACTGAAAGGCGCCACTCTACGTGCTCTTGAACGTCCAGTCCTGTCAGCCAGGCCTCGCAGAGGAGAAAAGGGGTCCCCCTGGCAAATATGCTGTCTTAGGCAGGCAAGGTGTTTCATGAGAGTTTAAAACCATCTCTGGCCTTTGCAGACTTGTTTTCCTGGCTACCTTGGTGCTCAAGCGTCCTCTCTCCACAAGGACTTTCCATTCGCCTAAAGCCTGTTTTTCCCTCCCTATTTCCTCTGGCTGGGCAAGCCGCCCAGGCGGGCCATCGCATACAGATCACGTTCTCTCAGGAGTCTGTCTCCACGAAGACCCTTCAGGCAGCTGATGTGAAACTTCACACAATGCTTTTTTCCACTAGACCAGGAGGTTTTCCAAATCCAGCCCCCTTGTTCAACACTGCCAGCTTGTTCTGCTCAGGGGAAAACAGCCAGTTGTGAAAAAGAGCCACATACATGTCCCTCTGCGTGTTTGCATCAATCGCACCAGGTTATGGGTGTAAAATCCTGCTCTAGAGCTGGAGGAAGGGCAAGGAGGTGGCAGTGGCTCAGCGGCAGGGTCCTGTGACTGCTGTCCCTTGGGAGGGAAGGGACCCCTTGGGAGGGCCCTGAGTTGGCTGCTCATGGCCGCAGAGCCTCCAGGTGTCAGTCTACCCGTCACCAGCTGGTGGCACATGGCCATCCCTGGCTTAAGCACACCCTGTCCTCTTCTGTGTTCTGTCCTGGACCAGCAGCTGGAGCAGGTTTCAAAAACAAAGACCTTACAGCATCTCCCCTCTGCTCAGCCTCCCCTCCCAAAGGTTCCCATCACACCGAAATCCAAAGTCCTCCCCCACCTTTGGGCTGGCAGGACCTGACCACAGCATTTCTCAAACCTCAGTGGCCAAAGGCGCACCTGGGGACCCTGTTCAGTAAAATGCAGTGTCTGATCCAGGAGGTCTGGGATGAGGCCTGGGATTCTGCATTCCTAATTCATGGGCAGTTGATGCTGCCAGTGCGGTGGCCACACTGGGAGCGTGGAAGCCGCACCACCCCGGGAGCGCTGAGTCCTGGAAAAGTGAACTCTTCAGGCTGTCGCTGGGTTCTTCCCTTAAGCCCATAAAGGCTCCTTTCAGGTGTTCAGAGCAGGTCTGGGATGTGAAATTCCAAACTTCACCCGGGAGTTAAGTTCTAGGAGGGGTCCCAAAAGCAAAGGATGGCAGGAGGGAGGGAAAGGCGGGAAGGATGTGCCCCATGGCATTGCCCCTGAAGTCACACCACAGGGACCCTCAGGGCCTGCCTGCTGAATTGTGTACACCCCTCCCTGTCGGTGCCTCCTTCTTCCCAGGGACCTGGTGGGAGGGTAATAGAGGAGGTGACAGATCCTCCCTGGCCGCTGATGCTGGGAGAAGCCCGTGGCTCACAGGGCTGCCAGGCCCACAAACCCACATCCTGAAGGTGGGCAAGTAGAAACTAAGTCCACAGTTTCCCCCAGGCCAGCTTCTGGAACTGCCAACCCCTTTGGGGATTGCCTGACATGTTCTTTTTTTCCTCGGATTCCACCCTGAACCTGTCGGGAAGCATGCTGTGTGACCCTGCACTAGTCACTTGGATGTACGGAGCCTCTGCTTCCTCCTGCATTAAGCAGGCACAGTGACACCCAGCTCCTGGGGCGTCGAGGAAATAAAATGAGAATATGCGTCAAGGTCCTGATGCACTCAAGGTCGCGTTGGGGTCTCAACCTCCTTTCCACCCACCCTCCGCCCTCCATCCCAAACACTCACCCAGGGGAGACGTAAGCAGGACCCAGCGGCCCCCCGGTTGATCTGACCTCTGACCAGGGTGGGCTAGCTGGATGGGGTGAAACGCGTTTCCGTGTGAGCTGCTCGATATCTTTTTGCTTTAGTTTCCCCAGCCAGAAATCAGTGGGGGAAGGGGAAGTATGATCTTTATAAGCCCTTTTAGACTCGGGTATTATCCTTACGTGGGAAACATGTCTGGAAGAAGAGTGGGTATAGTTCGTCAAGCAGACACAAGGGAGGTGGGAGGCTGGGACGGCTCTGGGGCGCAGTGTCCCGTCTGGACCACTAGGTGGCTCCGAGGACAGCGGATGGGTACCGTGGTTTGCACCGTGGTTCCTCTTCTGACTTTTCCAGTTTTCGCCTTCACAGGCCCGACCGCTGCTGGGTGGGAAGAGCCCGGGGCTGCCAGGCTGGGACTCCTTGCCCATTTTTATAGACGGAGAAGATGGGAAGAGGCAGTCACCACAACACAGTCCTGCTCTGGGAATCATAGGGAGTCTGCCCTGCAGTCCGACTTTTGGAGGCCTCGGAGTCTCAGCTCTACAGCCGTGGTAGTGCCCCATTCTCCGCCTCTCTCCTTACCCTCTAGCCAGAGTGGGGTGGGGTGGGAAGAGGTCTGGATTTGGACCCCTCCCTCCTGCACTTTCGGGCTGGTAACCTGGGAAGTGGGATAACTGTAACCCCCTTGCAAGGTCAGAGGGAGGACCAAGCGTCAGAACATAGGTCCTTGGATGTAGGCTAGTTTCTCTTCCAAGCACCTTACCCGATTCACCTGGAAAACCCTTGCCTACAGAACTAGAGGGTCCTTGCAGGTGGAGAGGTAACCCCCAGCCACGTCCCCAGAAATCAGCATGTCTCAAAGTGACTTTCTCACCCAGGCGGAGCATTAAAAATACCGATACCAGCGCACCAGCCCTGCTGAATCAGGATCTCTGGAGGTGAGGCCCAAGAATCCCAGCCTGAACAAGTTGCCGGCTGGAAAGGCTGCCCCAGATTACAGGGCAGCTCCCTGGCCCACTGGCTCCTCCAGTCCAGGATGTTCAGGGGGTGGGAGACAAGCACTTTGAACTGGGGCTGCTTTTCAGTGACTCACCTCCCAGGTTCCTGCAACAGACAACTCTAAGGAGCTTGATCCCACCCTCCAGCAGGGGAGACTCCCGGTGGGGAAGAGCAGGTGGTTACAAGGGGGGTGCCCCGGCTAGGACAGCCCAGGAAGACCCCCGGAGAGGAGCCGCTGCCTGCACAATGCAGGAGCACAGGTAGAGGACGTTTTGTTTACAGGCTTTTGTTATTAAGGAAATTGCTGTCAGTCAAGGTAATTCTAGCTCAGATGAGCAATAAATGTGCTCCCAGCTAATCTTATGGGGATTTTATTGGCACCTGGGGCAGAAGTTCCTTTACCCTGCCCACCCCTCCCCGCAAAGCAAAACCCTGCTCCCCAGCGGTTCCCTCCGGCCACGCGTGGGACGTCGAAGTGGAGGCCGAAGACGACCGCACAGAGGTGGGGAGCAGCTTCCTGGTCCGACCTGGAGGCAGGGGACGACCGAATGCCCAGAAATAAAGCCCTGGGCGACCTGGCTGGATCCAGGCATGCGCGAGCTCCCCCGGGCCTGCCCCGCACGCAGGGGTGGTCACCTGGCCCGCGGGCGGCCCGGGCCAGGAGGAATGTCCCGGAGAGGCAGCCGGCTCGCAGGAGTCGGTTCCGGCGTGTTCGAGTCACAGCTGCGAGCCCTCAGGGACACCGGCGGCAAGTCCCGGCTCGCAGAGACGCGAGCCAGGCCCGGGAGAGCGCGAGTCGCAGCGAGCCCGAGTGCGCGCCCAGGCGCGCGCCCCGCGACGGCGCCGGGGGAGAGGAGGCCGCCGCAGCCACTCAGAAGCACGGCCGTGGAGCCTCCCCACAACTTTAACTGTCAATCAGACTTAATGGGGTATTAAAAAAATGGGGGGGCCAAGGGGCCGCCCTCTCTCTCCGCGCCGAGGCTGCCCCGGGAGCGAATGAATCGGGCCGCGCAGACCAGGGCGTCCGATCCACGCGCGCCCCGCAGCCGGGCCCTCCCCAAGTTGGAAAGGACAGAAAGAAGGCAACAGGCGCTCCGAGCGGGGCGAGAGGGAGCCGGATCGAGCGGCGGCTCCCAGGCTCTGCCGGAGGAGCCGGGGGGCGGGGAGGGCGGGCGCCGGGAGAGCGAGCGCGCGCTCGGGCGAGCCCTGCACGGAGAGAAACTGACACCCGGACCCCCCGCTTCTCCTGCACGTTGCTGGCACTCAGATCGCGTTTAAGCAATTTCCTGAGCCCAAGATCAGCAATGAGTCGGGAGGCTTTCGCGGGCTGAGACTGCGAGCTCCAAGCACTTTTCTGCCCCCCCTTTTTCCCCCCCTGGAGAAGGGGTGGTGGAAGACGCGGGGGGGGGCGCTGCAATTTGGAAACTGCTTTTTTTTTTTTTTTTAATCTTGCACTTTGAAACCGCGGGACTGTAGCAGGGTGCGCGCGTGTGGTTGGTGTTTTGTGTTTTTTTTTTGTTGTTGGTTTTTTTTTTTTTTTCCTCCCTTCTCCTGCCTAAACTCCTCTGTCAGTCTGTAAACATTACCTGAGAATTCCCCAGCCGAAACGGCTGCCGGGGCAAGAAACTTCTTGTTAGAACTTTCCACCTCCGGCTTCCCCTCCACCTCTCCTACCGTCCCAACCTTCTGAGACGCGTTTTCTCCCCCAGAGACTTTATCTTTTTCCCGCCCCCCCTCACCCGGTGCTTTGCATCTGGGAAGAGGTGACTGCAGGTGGGACACCTCTCCCCTTACTCGGGTTATTTATTATTGTTCGGTTTTCTGTTTTGGTTTTTGCTTTTGCTTTTTTGTCGTCGTTGTGTTTTTTTTGTTTTGTTTTGTTTTGTTTTGAAATTTCTGTTTGGCTCGGACCGGGGAGTTTCGCCCCCCGCCCGGCTCCGCGGCGCGGAGGATGGTGTGGAAATGGCTGGGCGCGCTGGTGGTGTTCCCTCTGCAGATGATCTACCTGGTGGCGAAAGCGGCCGTCGGGCTGGTACTGCCCGCCAAGCTGCGGGACCTGTCGCGGGAGAACGTCCTCATCACCGGCGGCGGGAGAGGCATCGGGCGGCATCTCGCCCGCGAGTTCGCGGACCGCGGCGCCAGGAAGGT